TAAAGTTATTCTGAGACTGATTACCATAAAATACAGTTTTTCATTTCTTTCCTGGATCAGTATCTGATCGAATTAAGGATGTGGTGCTCCGAGGAATGATATATTTTAAATATAGTATATGTAAATATAATATATTTAAATATATCCACAAATTATCTATTTCAGAATTCTAAACTTTTAAATTACCCCTACAACGCAATATTTCTTGCATCCAGTGATTACTTTCTGAAAGCTTCATTAAAATCTGTTCAGTGACTCCTGAGATATTTTACTAACAGACAGAAACACAGATGGATATCTGCCTTTGGCTGTTGGCAGCAGGCAACTATAAAACACAGACATAACAGGCAATAAAATTATCCTTCAGACTGACTAAGACTAATTACTGTAAGAAAACATTGAGTAAAATAATGTTTTTACAACATCTATCAATATGTTCTGGTTTTTTTCCTGAAAAGTCAGGAAGGCCACTGTGAGCCATCATACTGACAAACCTTCGAGCCCAGGTGAAGAGCACGGATGTGCTGCCGACGCTCCTCAGACATGTGTCTCTGGGAATGCAGGGTCAGGTAGTCAGCCAGGAAGTGGCACGCAGACAAGCCGGGGCGGCGATCCAGAGCACGCTCACAAACTTCTAGTCCCACCATGAAATCTGCCATGCCTTCCAGGAGCTGGAAAAGCAACAGAGCTTATGAGACATGAGAAAACCAAGGTCCACATCTTCTGTGAAGAACTGGTGATGCTGTGTWCTGAAGGACTTCATTCAATGAGCTGAAAGTGAAATTTCACTCTTAACTTCAAGATTTAAGAAGATGCAAGGAACTGGAGGAGGCAAGAGACACGAGGAAAAAGAAGCATAAAGAGACATAAAGAGAAAAGTATTATATTAGATGAACAAAACCAAAACCAGGAGGTTCTCATCCTTATTGATAAAAGTCTGAGTGGTGTTTCTAAATTCATCCTTAAAGAACKTAAAGAAGCAGTTTTCTGCACCTGAAAAGCCTCGTCCGTTTGTCCTTTCTCCAACAAAAAGAGCAAATGTTCCGTCTGCAGCTGCAGTTTGTGCTGCTCAGAAACAGGATAGAGCTCAACCCACTGCTCACACAGAGAGAACTCCTGAAAAACAAAGAATAAACCTTTTATTTCTTAAAACTGTTGTGAATACTGAACAATACGTTGTGTCAAACTAATGTCAACCTGTGGTCTAAAATGTTTTTCACAAAGTGTCACAGGGTGAGACTCTTCAGACACAGGCTTACCAACTCAGCACCTCCAGTACAGTTACAGGACAGCTCGCCTGGGGGCGGGGCTTAATGATGTAATGTGTCAATGATGTCACCATGCAATGCTTCTTATTTCCACAACACGAGTTACAACCACCTAAACAAACTCTTGTTTCTGTTATTTCCATGTAACATGATGGATTAACAAGGATTTAATTAACAGTTTTTTTCTTACAACTTTTCAGCTGCTGATGACCTCATTAAACAAAGACATAAATATAAACATGTTATTGTGAATACCAAACTTTTATATGAATTTAACACTTCAGAAAATTACTGTTCAAGAATTAATTTATAAAATAATTCTAACTCAAGACTATACATCTACAAAAACACTGCATGTGTTTTCTATGTATCATATTTCTTATATTATCCATGTTTAAGTCAAATGTGCCCATAGTTCCAAAAATGAGGTGAGGTTCACCACTGTGGTGAGGTTCACCACTGTGTGAACAACTGTGTGAGCAGATAGCTCAACAGTTTAGAACATTTTGTTTACGTACAGTTACAAGGAACTTAAGGATTTCATCATCTACAGTTCATGATATCATGAA